TTATCAGCTTGGAGAATAGGCAGATAATATTATCGGCAAAGATAAGGGCGACTGAAATGGCTATTTCTGGCTTATTAGTCGTCGTCAGCCAGTCATACCCAAACCCAAGTGGCGTCTCATCCGAGCTTCGAACTCGCGACCTCTTTGGTCAGAATCAAACGCCGTAACCATTGGGCCACGAGCTCGTTGTCTTGCCGGTTTTAGCTCGAGGATATTAACACTCGTTCATGAACGTTCACCCGACCGCTAACGAAACTCATCTGTCCCGCCCTGCCTAGGGACCTGACAGACTCCCTGAAGAGGATTTGACCACTGGAACCAGACTTTTATTCACCTGACGTGTCGAAACCCGTCGCGCATCCTTCATCATAAACATTAAGAGAGACAGTAGCAGGAGCAGATTGCGCGCCGATAACAACTTCCGAACGTGTGGGAGAGGGCACGGTGTCGGCCGCGCCATCCGTCTGCACCTGATCCCGCCTCCAGTCCTCTTGATTGTGTCTTGACAGCGGGTATAGGTGACTGTCCGAAGCGACCAACTTTAGAGGCCTGCGTGTCCCCAGCTGTTGCTGTTGACTTGACCCTGTGTACTGTTGTGTATTTTCAGAGAACTCTTCGACCCTAACGTCATTCGACCTGCAGCTGCTAGTTCACAGGAGGATATTCCTGTGAGATCAGACGGCTCTCCATAAACTTAGTCGGGGACTGAAAGCTAATGTCGTGAGAAGTATACAATAGCTTTGCAGAAGGTCTCATGAAATATTTACCAAAATTCTGAAATGTTTTTCCTCTAAAAGAAAAGATGAGTTGAGAAGATTTGTTGTATTAATTGCCGTGCAGCTGAATGCCCAAATCACATCAAGATGTCTCTGCTTTTGAACTAGCCTTTTTCCCATCGCTTGCAAAAAAATACACCCTTTAAAACGACTACTACCTATGTAGCATGCATTTATCCCATTCATTGTCAATGACCTTAGTGACGTAAACATTTCTTGCAGAAAATAAGCGCAAAAATAATCTTTTCTGCATTCATTTGGTCGATAATTACGTTTTCTGTAAATGTTCTATTATGTCTCGAGAAAGTGCAGCGTCGTGCGATAAAGCTAATAAGAGGTGTAAAATACAATTGTTAGTCGGAAGGACGGTAGTGTCTAAATGTATGCCCTCTGTAGTACAGGCAGCAAAGGGATGATTTCATCTTAGTTTACAAGATAATGCACGACCTTTAGCAATGATTACGCTTTGAGGGCATGTTTCAGTGACATCTCTCGTGGACACACAATGAAGCTACACAGAAAAATGTCTAAGATAAATCATCTCCGTTCTGAATTCTCTCCATAACGGCCCATATAACAATGCAAAAAACTCCGCAATCAGTCATAGAGGCAACATCCCTACAGCTCTTCAAGAAACGCTTGAATACTTCTAAGTACCCCCTTTTGTCGCTCGACAGTGTGAACTCGAACTAACATCACACCAACCCCAGACAAGAGTTATCTGTAAAAACAATGCTACTCACAGTTTGTGAATACTATTTTAAAAGGGACAATGTTTCTTCAAGTGCCGAGTGATTTTAAACCCTGCGTGTCATTGCAGTTCCATTCAGGGTTTCCGAACTGCAGGTTGTATACATTCCGCCATAGGAACCTCACACAGTTATCTATGCTATTACGAATGCGTCTTGTAGTGCTCATAACATTTCGTAATAGATTCGGAGAAATTTTATTACTTGGTAAGTATCATTAATAAATGCACAGATAAGATATTTTATAAAGGCAGAGTCCGGCAAGTATAAAGTTGTCTGAGGTACTTAGCCATCCCTAGCCATAAGATTATGCCTTACGGGAGTGGTGTTAGTAGGAGTTTTATGGTTGGGTCATATTACAGGAAAGAAAAAGAACTAAGTAGTAAAGCGTATAAAAGCAGAAAATATTGGGAAATACTTATTTAAATAACCAAAAATTTGGGCGCTATAATTAAAATGACAAATACAATGAATAAAAAACAAGAACTGCACAAAATAGGCATGCAACTAAGTCGAAATTTAGCGATTGAAATAAAACCACGAAAGATAGGCATTTCCCATGTTTTATTAAAACTCGCAATAGTTTCTAATGCATTTGGAGAGATATTGTAGTACGATAGGCCGAAAAGTAACCGTAAGTCCCCTTAAAATAAATTGTATTAAATATTAAGCTATCTTAAAACTATAAATAAAAACATACTAATAGCGTAAACTAAAACTAATGAACCCAAAAGTAACCACAGGAAGCTAAAGATTTCCGAGTTTTGGGGTGCAGTTGTAAACATAACAGCGCCTATCAAATTACATATAGTAGGTATATAAGTGTATATATTTCTGGACCTCGGGCAGCTTTATTGTTATCAAATCTCCTTATTCGAAACGCTTTTAACACCAAAATATATTCTTTCTCTGACTGTGCTATTTTAAGCCGTAATTGGCTACCTCATGAATATAAAACAGGAATATTTTGTGCATGTTTTTTTTAATATTTTGGAATTTATAAGTACGCTGAAAGTAAGCGTTCCCTTTTACGGAGTGCAGTTTCGGAGGGGCGACTAAAAATAAGTTCATTCAAAAGCCGGAATTCTGACGTAACTGATACAGCCTGGGATTCTGCTGCATTATAAGCATTAAGTAAGTACATAAGTAATCGCTTCGAAACGAAAACACATTGCTAAGAATTTCGGTTGACATTTCTTTTTATAGCAAAATTACCCTACATGTCATACTTATGTTCAGTGCTCAGCTTCCGGTGAGAGGATGACAGGCAGAGCACTGATGACCTGCGAGTTGATTGGCTTACAGTGAGGAAGAGTTGAAAATCATCATCGTCATTCACCTCTTTCACTAATGACAGATTTGACATTCTTGGCGGACGGCCAACAATACTGTCTCCCTCCCTTCGTTATCCGAGGCCCGCTCTCCCAAAGTCATGCATGGTCATAGGCAGCTATTCCCGGCTGACTGGTCTCAAAACCCTTGACCGATATTACCGCACGCATACACGTGCGCCCACATAGTCGCAGTTGCCACTTGAACACGCTGACCCGCGGCCACGCAGCCGGGGGCCTCTACACGCTACACGTCCCATCAGGCAATGCAAAAAACTAATAGCAAACCACTTGAACTCGCTTCAGTCCTGTAAAAGCAACTGTATTCATCATCACCTCTCTCACAACACAACACAAAATCGGGCTCTCGGACATGACTGGAGGCAGTCAAAATCAGCACTGGCTTTGCCAGTGGAAACTGCTGCCTGAGACAGCAACAGAGGGCTCTGTGCACAATAGAGTGCGCATGCTGGTGACTTCTGTCTTTTACCTGCAACGTGGGATTCAATCTCATGATTGTAGTGAGCTGAGTACAATCACGACTTAGGTCGCTACAAATTGGTGAGCCTGACGTGATCCAAACACGCATTCTTCATAGCACCACAACTACTCAAACCTCCCGATATGGCTGACAACTTCTTCGTGAAATTCTAACTCGACTTCAGTCTACTGTTTTCCAGTGCCACTCGTCATGTCTACGGATAAGGCAACGCGATTACTGACACCCTGTTGCGAATTGAGATAGATATTTTCACAATCCGTCAACCGTACAAGTCCAGGTTGAACCTCGAGCAATTTATTTGGTGCATTCATCCAAATGCGTCGCTATCACTTCACATCTCTACTGTGTACGAGACTTACCTCCGCTCATGACCAACGAAACATCATTCGTGAGTTCTTGTCATACTACACTCAACATGCACTTATGTACGCATCGATAAATTTTCCAACATTTGATATTCCATTCTATCCTAATTTTCTGTCTAGACGACAGTGAGCCTCTTTCGCAGACGCATTCGTCCGACCCAGCTCTAATTGGAATGCCTTGGTTCGAGATGACCTCTCCTCATACCAAGGGGCCGACTCACTAGCGCACGTTGTCGAGATGACATTTCCCCGCTGATTAACGCTCAGCAATCGCTAACGGAACTCACTCGTCCCGGTCTGTCTTGGGGCTCATTCTCGAGCCCCGCCGTACAGCAGCAATTAGTCTAGGTAGATAGCATTGCCGGCGAAGACAAGGGAGACTGGAGTGGCCATTTCTGGCTAACTAACCCTCATCAGCCAGTCATACCCAACTCAAAGTGGTGTCCTACCCTAGGTCCCATTCCAATTGACTACTCCGCCCTCACCGCCCCAAGTCACCCTGCCCTTAATTTTACCCGTTAAAAATGGCGCATAATCCAAGTCTCAGTATGGAGCTTGCAGAAGAAGACAGATGAGAGGGAGTCGGGGGAGCCTTTTTAAAAATCAAGCAAGGAAAATAGTTAGGCGCGGTGGGGGGAGAGTAGAGAGCAGATTTTCAATCCAGGCAGCAGATGTCCGCGTAAATTCCGTACGCACGCACGCACGCACGCGCGCATACGTGCTTAAGTTATCAGCGACGTTGTGGCGGTTTCAAGGTCATCACCGCCTCCCCTCAAGGTCGCTGACGGTCTTAATGCGGCGGCGTTGGCGTGGTGACGTAGGTGTCGATCTAGATTGGTTCGCTGAGCGAAGGAGCGGGCGCAGAAGGAGCAGGTGAAGGGCTTCTCCAGGTGGTGAATGTTGCGTACATGACGTTGCATATTGGAGGAGATGCTGAAACGACGGTTGCACTGGCCGCAGCAGTACGGCTGCTCCCCAGTGTGAGTGCGCATGTGCCGGTTGAGATTGGCTGAACGGGGAAAGGCCTTGGTGCAATGGGGGCACTGATAGCGGGATTTGTTAGTTGC